GGAAAAATGCAACGGCCTACCCAAAAGAGGCCTAGACCAGGAAAAAGACGAAAAATAGGCCTCTAGGCCCTCAAATTTCAGTAAAGGCTGCATCTTGGGAAGTGGTACCCCAAAAGGCAGCTCTTTTTGAAGTAAAGAGAGGCCGGGGTAGGCCAATGGGTAGTCCGAGAGGGTACCAGCCACTCGGACTGCATGCACTTGACCAAAATGAGGCCCAGGTACCTCCAGATAGGCCAAAACCGAAAATTTGGCCTTGGGGGTACCTCGCTCCACCTAGAGGCACTTGGGGAGGCCTAGGGGTTGGGCGGTGCACCAGTTCCAGCCTACATAAGCTGGGAATGCAGGCCGCCACTCTCATTTGAGCATGGGAGGAGCCCATGCTGCCCAAATGAGTCCATGAGAGAGTCCTAGTGCAATAGAGCAAGGGAGAAGGAGCCGGAGCTAGCCTGGAGCCTGGCTATGGTGATAGGGCTGAGGGAGAAGGTCTAGAGGCTAGAGAAAAGCAAGGGAAGTGATCCGCCATAGCCCTCAGGCTGTGAGGTAGGAAGAGAGGCTGAAAGGGGTCCCCTTAGCCCTTCTAGAGGGAAGGACTCCTTAGCCTTAGAGGTAGGAGCTGGCCATATTCTGGAAGGAGGAGGGAGACTTGGGAGGTGGGGAAAACATATCCAAGGGGCTGGGGGCCAAGCTTGGGACTCCACTGCACAGGGACCAACAAGAGGTAAGTGGGAAGGGCGGGAGTTTTTCCTCCTCCTTCCTCCTTTCTCCCTCTCCTTCTTCTTCTTCTTCTTCCTCTCTTCCCCCTCCTCCTCTTCTCCCTCTTCTTCTTCCTTCTCCTCTTCTTCCCTTCTTCCCCCTCCTCCTCCTACCCCTCCTCCCCTCATTCATCTCCCCTTTCCTCATCTTCTTCCTCTCTCCAAAACTGTGAGTTTTGCTGATTTTGATGCTTGTACATGTTGCGATTCATCCTAGGATACCTCGGTGATCATTCCCCTAGTGTAGATGTCATCAATCTTGTCAATTTGCTGATTTGGATGCTTATGTGTGTTGCGCTTCATCCTAGGATACTTCGGTGATCATCCCCCTAGTATAGATGTCCTCAATCTTGTCAAATTGCTTATTTGGGTGCTCGAGTGTGTAAAGCTTCATCTTTGGGTACCTCGGTGATCATTCCCCTAGCGTAGATGTCATCAATCTTGTCATTTTGTTGATTTGGATGCCTATGTGTGTTGCGCTTCATCCTAGTATACTTCGGTGATCATTCCCCTAGCGTAGATGTCATCAAACTTGTCACTTTGCTGATTTGGATGCCTGTGTGTTGCGCTTCATCCTAGGATACTTCAGTGATCATTCCGCTAGTATAGATGTCATCAATCTTGTCATTTTGCTGATTTGGATGCCTATGTGTGTTGCG